AAAAAACGTTATGATTGATTTTGCAAAGAATCAAATGCACATACCGATACAAAATGAATTGCGATAGTGAAAATTAGTTTACCTTCTGATTTTATTTATACTGTGAGATCCTACAGATTTAATATGCTCCAAAAATTTGTAGTTAATCCTCAATATAAAATCCTCGATTTGGAAAATAAAGTGAAAAGTTTCCGTCGGCACCTGCTTAAAATAGTCCCAGGAATTTAGATTTGGTTTTGAAATAAAATTGGGCGATCTGAATAAGGTTGCTAGGCTTGGATTGAGAATGCCGTGAAAATTTCTAATTAGATGTCCGGCCGAATTCTGTCCCGGGGTTGAAAAGGTAAAATATTCCATAAATCAAGACCTTATTGACTGACGATAACAAGTAGGTACATATCAATGACTAGCGGCAGCCCGCGACTTCGTACGCGTGGATCCCGTTTTACCCCCTTAGAGGTGGAGTTTTGTAATATCCTTTCTTAGCGGATGGCTACGTCATATTAATAAAATCTACCTGCATGCCAAATTTCAGCCCGATCCGTCCAGTGGTTTGGGCTGTGCGTTGATAGATCACTATATCAGTCAGTTACTTTTGAGTTAATATTTAGATGTAAGTATTAATCTAAGGGGCTGCTATGTAAACATTGGCCTCTCCAACCCGTCTGACTACCATAGAGTATATATAGGCCAAATCCTCCGTTTACCTTTGGAAAATAAAAAGGGTCTTGCTTCTGAAATGGAGGCCAAATGCCCAGACGATAATGACATTAGACATTTGTTACACTTCGCAAATTTAATGCGAGTCCTCTCTAAGACATATTATATCCACACGCTCACCTGAAACGTTAGCTTAAACTTCATACACATCCGTGTTTGACTACGGAATCCGTAGAAGTGTTTGGTGTTCCGAACGACATTTCCTAACCGAAACTGTGTTCCGATTCGACAGAAGTACCAATGTAAAGTAAAAAGGGACAGCAACCCCAAATTTTACAATTTTGAATAAGGACTTGTCTTTTGTAATTTTAAGAGACAGGATAAGTGTACGATCATCATCGTCAAACGATTAAGTCGTTTCAGCCATTGGTAGTTTATAGTTTGACATAAGCCTCGATAATACCCGTGTACCTATGCAATGTAGGTCATTGTTATTAGAGAGTTTTTATGAATAGGATGAAGAGCTAGTTTTTTTAAATCAGTCGAACTTATGCTCTATTTCTTCAGTAGAATTTCATGTGAATAAGGTCGTGTTCATCATTCACGAGTTGGTTATTTAAATAGGTTTTCAGAATGATAACACATTCTGACTTTATTCTGCTCTTTTCTTATTGCATTACAAGCATAGGAACTATATAGAAGCAATAAATATTTGAGTATTGAATACGTAGAGGACGCAGTTTATAAAAGATGTTGTGGACTACGATGACCATTAGGTACTCCAATAGCTGTCAGTAGTCTGCTACTAATACTTAACCTTTAGTTGAAATCAATACTACTGTTCCTTTTGACACTGTGCTAAAACTGTGTCCCGATTCAACAAGAGCACTAACGTTTTCTGGCTTCCAAGATGTCTGCCTTAATGATGGTGAATGTCAACATCGATAGTTTTCAGGATTGAAGCTTTGAATTGAATTACCTGACATCTAACCTATTATAAGAACCCTTGTAACCTTTGTTCATACACAATAAAGACTTTTATCATCATCATCATCATCATGTCAGCCATAGGACGTCCACTGCTGAACATAGACCTCCCCTAATGCTTTCCACATTGATCGATTGGTAGGCGCACTATGTGCCCTGCCCCAAAGACTTTATTACTTTATTACTCTGAACCTATGACCAATCCAGAGCTAGCTAAATTCTCGTATATTAGTAAGTTCCCTAGAGAGAAACTTGATTTAAATAACGGCACACAAAGTAGTTATAATTATTTTGAATTCCCAGTTTAGTTGTAAGTCTTAGGTTGTTGAAGCCTGTACTTTTGACCAAAAAAGGTCAATCGAGTAACTTAAAGGCAGCTAAGTTGTAAGTCATGGCTATGCAAGACTTATAGAGATGATTTTGAACTGAGAAAATTGAGTCCATAGGTCATGGTTATGGGCACAATCGAAAGCATATCAGACTATGTATTTTGTTGCAAAATCGCCCCTCATAATTTTAGCCATAGGACGTCCACTGCTGAACATAGGCCTCCCCCAATGCTTTCCATGTTGATCGATTGGTAGCAGCCTGCGTCCAGCGCTTCCCCGCTACCTTTACGATTTCGTCGGTCCACCGTGTAGGTGGAAGTCGCCCCTATTACAACTTTATGAAGTGCCACAGTATTAACATTAAAGTGCTGTTGTCCATACAAGACTATTGTGGCAACGAAATGACCCTGAACAAGAAACTTTTTATCGATATCGACAATCATCCTCCCCAGCACTACTGTCCAGCGGCTGTCACGTCTCACCTCCAGGCAATATCCCCTCCCACGGCACGCGGAGGCATCCAGCGAATTCTTTGCTTATTACTTACCTGGCTGAAAAAACAAAGCTGAAACATTTTGTGCCAATAGCGAGGTTTAAAATCGAATTCAACGACAATGTAATGGGTATTTTTAGATGCAGATTTTTAGACTTAAGCAGTGAAGGTAATTATTGTGTAGTTAGATTGTTCAAGATATTAATCACCTAAACAAAATACTGTTAAAAACCTGCTTTGTATGTGAAAAAATACAGATTCTGTTTTTGGCAAGAATTACACACACACATAGAGAGAGAGTTGTGTTCCAACAGTGGCGCCCAAATGATCTGATGATCATTAAGCGTCATGAAATAATTCGCTATAGTTTATAAAAATAGGTCATTCGAGAACAAATATGTAGTTTTAAGCACTGGTCTATTTTCTCATACGAGCCTGAAGGTACCCTTCCCAATGAAGTTTTACATAAAAAACATTTCCTTCTAACTTCGTTCCCAGCAATTTCAATATTTGTTTCAAACGAAGTCCTATCGTATAAAGTTCTGTGTATTTTCCGATCGTTTGAATTGTGTATTTTTCTCTGAGATAACAAACAATAGAGATGAACTAACTGGTTTGTTATTTTTGGTCAATTTTCTAGAGCTAGAAATCAACTATTGTAAATGAAGCCTAATTTAAGAACGAGAGTGTAAATATTAATATGTTTGCTTACACTTTGCCATATTAATCATCATCATCATCATGCTATTGGAGATACTCCATTGATTAAAGGGCTGATACTTAGCACAATGGTAGATCACACTCAGACTAACCCCCTTACTAATATAACATAACTTACACGTTTGTTGAACAATGTTTTAAAGTGACGTTTAGTATGGAAATTTCATTAAAAAAAATTTTTCAACAAGTGTGTAACTTTTCATAATTCCCCTTACTAAGGGGGTTAATCTTTTAATTAAATGTAAGCAGCATGCATGGAAGTTCTCATGCACTTGGTTATATTGCTCAAGGGGTCGGACTGGCCGACTCGTGATCCGGGGAACGCGGGTTCGGTCCCCGCCGCCGCTCGACTATTGTGGTGAGCTCACTCGTGACACAAGCATATTTAGCTTAGTACGAGGGGCTAACGGGAATATTAGTAATTTGTGTAATAACAAATTACTTATAATCTTTTAAAAAAAAAAAAAAAAATCATGTTTTTTATTCATTACTTAGGTCCATTCCAGGGCGTACAACATATGGTCCTGGTGCTGAGAAGAAGTGACAAAATAACGTTACCAAGAATACTGTCGAAAGTGCAAAAAAATTTAAGTCGAATGGCATAATTATATATTATGTATGTATAACTCATTTTTGACCCAAATGTCGCTTATGCCCTATTTCCTTTTACCCGTCAATGTTGTGTAATAGCTTAAATTATTTCATGCCTGCAATCTTTCACGTATTCTTAGATTTGCATTAATTACTTTATAAGGAAAATTAGCATTTTATCGTGTGAAGTATGAGTTGAAATTCGTCCAGTGGTTTGGGATGTGCGTTGAAAGACCACTATGTCAGTCAGTCAGTCACCTTTGAGTTGTATATTATATTAACTTAAAATATAATTAGTAACTTATTCCTTATACTTATTAGTTAAATTATAAATCCACTAACTACGGAAAACAAGAACAAGTATTACCATACTAATTAAATACTAACAAGCTACACTCACACAGAATGAATTAAGACAATAAGACAACAGCACAACTAACTCTTAATTCTATTTAAATGCAGACAATAAAACGAAGCTTCAGCTTGGCTAGCTTAACCCTCTAGAGCGAAAAAATATAAGGCTTTGTGCAAACGGAGAAACAAGAAACGCTTTTTATATGATATAAATTACTTGCAATTTTTTACAGGGTGAAAACTACTGTCACGGTCTGAAAGTAAATATCTACACCTTTGTATTTTTAAGGTACCAAACTACTTATTTATGGTACTGTCAAATCTACATGCCATTCCATTCCTCCATTTAAGACACGAGCCATTCAAAAGACAACTTCTAAGTCTTAGTAAATACTCAAAGTATAGTAATGATTCCAAATAACGTCACAGTCTAAAACGTTGCCTGCAGAAATAATATCCGTCCGTATGAGCAGCTCCTAAAGCCACTCTTGTAATTAAAATTCTATTAGGAAATAGAAAGTGTGGCATAAAGTGGTGCCTTGCGGTTCCCCGGCATCGGTGCAATGTTCTAAATTCATTGAAAGTTAGAGCGTACGGATTACGGCATTACCATTCTGGGCTGCTCAAAACTCACACTAGAAAAAATAGTGCGGGTCAGTAGTTGTCGATAATTTAGTATTCGATTTGTTTTTCTATTTATTAATGTGTAGTTGTATTTGAGTGATGGCTTTTAAGCAATGACTAGAAAATGTAACATTCGTGATATATCCAACTTCGTGCTTGCGTCACTACGTTAAAGGAATTGAATGCAACCCCTCATCGATCACTATTCGCCTTTATCATAAACGGTAGATGCAATAAAATGGTTGTTGGTGTTGAGATTATGTTTATTGTCAGTTTTAAAATGTTTATTATCCAAAAAGATTTTAGGTATGGCACAAGCATCCTTTTAATTTAAATTTTACATCGAAATAGGTATATTGAATTCGAAATTAATTTTGAAACTTATCAAAACCAATACAAAAATCAACGGAGCATATTTTTTCTCATACTTAAACTGTCCCTCACAAATCTGGCCCCAGCTTTGATGCCTTCCCAAGTCTCGAATCCAGCTTGTCTGATGAAAGCTGGGTCTACTAGGAAACCGTTCAAAGTTTGTCCTGCACCAGAGAATGCGGGGAGTTCATAAGTGTAAGATAGCGGTATACCGATGGCCTGGGCATAGTCGCTGGAGCCGCCTGAAGCAGCGTACAAGACGTGAAAGACGTTGCCGACAATGTAATTGGGTTTGTTGGGCCATTTGACTCTGTCGATAGCTTGCGCCATATTGACACCGACTAGGTTGATAGTCAACGCATTGGGTGGGAGAACGCCGTTGGCGTATCCGTACAGGATCATGCTTCCGAAACTGTGGAGATCCATGAAGATCTCAATACGGCCGGAGTGTTCGTTGAGGACGTCTCTGATATTTGCAGTTTCGGGCTCGGAGAAAGGCCCGTGGCCGTGGAAAGTGTCAGAGCACACGCTGTTGCTGGAAGCTGTGCCCCAGAAGATGTCGAAGTTTCTGTTCAGATCAACACCCATGCAGAGGTTGCCGACCATTAAACCGTTACGGCGGTTCTTTCTCCAAAAGCGGAACTGTAAAATTAATTATCATTTAAAGAATCTGTGTATTATCATATACATAAGTATATTAATAAATAAGAATCTATTATATGAATGAGTATTGTTACAGTTTTATGAGAGATACCTGATATTAGAATATAATTATTAGACTGTCTATTGTCAAAAATAATTTTTAAACTTTGGGAAACCAACAGTTCAATCAAGGTGTTTTTTCATCATGTTTTTTCGAGAAAACAATAACGACTAATATTATGACATCTAGATCTTTGTTCTCAATTTTACTTACGTTCGTGTGAGTCCATTCATATCCGTCAGGGTTGGCAATAGGCATGATGATCCAGTCAATATCATTGACCAAGTCAGCCTCAGTGACGTCCAGGACCAGTTTCTCAATGGCAAACAACGTAGCTGGGAGGGTAACCCACTCTCGAGCATGGAGAAGGGACATTAGGAATACTACGGGTTTTCTTGTGTCCTGTTAAAAGAAAAAATATTGATTAGGTACAACCGACTTCTGTAAAAGGAAGAGTTCATATTGATGATAAAACAAGATAAGAAAAACTTTAATAAGTTTTTATTTCAAAAATTTACCTATATTCGATTTGGAAAACCATTGAAATTAGTGTTTAGATTGCAGCGATATACACACCTGGAAATTGGTGGTGGAAATTTTCAAGTACTTCATGTCACGACCTTCAAAACTTTTTCCAGCTGATGCAACGGTGACCAGATTGGGGTAAGCGTTAGCCAATTGGACGAGGTAGTCGTCGACCTAAAATGAAAAAAGATATTTTTTTGTGAAATCCAAAGTTCAAAATGGGTCTAATCAAACTTTTATAGACATGATGGTGCTCTATGTCATAGTTTAAGGAAGCATTTAACAAATACACACCACTTGGAATCTGTGAATATTGTCGAAATCAAGACCAACGACGGAAGACCTGTTGCTAGTCCTGGCCGCCATTTGAGCCAAGATTTTGTCTTCGATTTCTAATTGTCTGAAAATAATAAAGGAATTAAATTACTAGATACTGACAAGTGAACCAATTTTAATTTCCAAGGTGTTAATCGCTATGACTGAAATTGAGTCTCAACTCAAATATTATTTGGCAGTTGTCATTTAAAGTAATAATATCCATAAGTACTATTACTACTAATATTAACTTACTCCCGAATGTTCTCAACTTGGATCCTGTACTCTACATCTTTAGAAGCCAACAGAGTTTCGAAGTTCGCCTTCTGGTCTTTGGGAACCAGGATCTGTCCATTGCGTCCAGTGTTTGCATAAACAAACACGTCGATCGGGAGGTCGTTTTCCAGGCCATTGACGAAGTTAGACTGCTCTTCATTCTTCACGACAATTTCGTAGAGAGAGTGTCTAAAAGTAATTATTATTATAATAAGACGGAACTAAAGTCAACTTTCATATTAAGTCGTTTTGGTGCAAATAATGGCGTTATTCTTAAAATTGTTGCTACAACTGAGAAAAAAATCGGGCAATTTTCATCTCTCGTTCGAGCTACCGCAACTCCTGTATAATCAGGAAAATCAGGATCTACAGTTTGACCGCTAATAAAAGTTAAACCAGTGAAAGTCAAGTTTGTTCCAGGGGAAAGTTATTATCATTGAATCCGTAACGGAATCATTGGAAGGAAAAGAAAATATTTCGTTACTTTCAAATTGTGTTCTTTGAAGACAAAGCCTTTTCTTGTTTTTTTCTAATGAAATTTGTAGCAGCTTTAATTATTGATTTTCCTTTTTTTAAGCCCTGAATTTCACATGAGTCTTTAATCATATTAAGAGTCGTATTCATAGTTTGATAACATTATAGACCTCCATAATAAACAACTTTTACCAGAGAAGTGCTTACCCATCGTATACTTCGTGCTTAGCACACACAATGTAAAAGGTGACACTGAACACAAAGAAACTCTTGAAAAGGTTGGCCATGGTGCTATGGCCAAACGAAGAACAGCTACTGTGTTCAAAACAGAAGGCAATTATTATATTAATACTGTCTTAAATCCCCATATTATTATCTCCAAGATAAACCGATGTCTGCAGGATTAAGCGGTATTTGGTAATTTTGATATGTCATCACTATCTGTTCAAGGTATATAGCCGCTTGGCCTTGCGGATTCGGATCTAGAAGAGGTTAAAGCAGATAGTTATGCAGGTTCAAATCCCAAAGAGGACAAGGCTAATAATTGTGATGAACAGGAGCATGTCAAGAATTTCCATGACTTCGTAGATACAAACGTTTATTATGAAAATTTATTTGATGCAACAAATAATTGAGTATTGATATCGAGTGGCCTTAATTCGAGCTCTGCTTTCTATGGGTTTAAAACTGTGATGATTGGTAAAAATATTGAAGCATTAGGTACCAAATAGATCAATATACTTGAATGAATAATTAGGATACATACAATTAATTATGGTAGCACTTTCTTGGACTTAGCGCCTTAAAACATAAAGATAACAATGTACGTTTCAATTAATTTAACACCTAAACAAGATAGTTTACGCACGTGGATTGATTAAAAATATAGCGTCATTGAGTTATAATTTTATCTGATGATTATAATTATCAAGCTAATTCATTTCTAAGTAAGTTACATACTTGAGTTTTTTGTTAGTTAACTTTAATTAATAAAAGACCCAGATATGTAACTTAGAAATAACGCTGGGTGAAATTGACTAAAGATTTATTTTTACCCATCCCCCAACCCATCTGGCAAGTTGAGGAGTGAGGCCAAATCCTCCATTTGCCTCTGGTAAATCAAAAATCATCTTCTTACAGTAGATACGGAGTGTATGCTAAATCCTCTATGCCTCTGGTAAATTAAAGGTGACCATCTTCTTACAGTAACTAGAGACTGATGATAATTTTAATTATTGTTTAAGTAGACATGATGGTTATAAGAAACACCTCCAAATAGTCAAGGGAAAACCCCGTAAAATTTGATAATTTTGAACATATTGTAATTTAAAGGGATCATCTAGATTAAGCATATCATTTTCATGAGTATTAAGACGTATTGATATTAACCAAAACAAGATAATAGTAAAAATATTGATCCGTAATATTATTATTGTAATTTTGCGAAATTACGACTGTTGACGATGACGTTTTTACACCTGAACCACTGAACTAATTTTGATGAATGTTCGTTTATAGCAACACATATTAAAATACCGTCTATCGCCTAGATAGCATTGAAGATATAAAATAGGGAATGAAAATGTAAAGAATAGGAAATGTGAATTGGTGGACCACCAGTCACAAGAAATACAGATTAGGAATGTTTAATGGTTGTCACCTTTAGTCATTCACCCTAAGATCACTGACTAGGCTTAACAATTTTATAGTCCCAATGCCTTATTTGATGCTCGCATAGAAAAGGACATGATATAGCTCAAAGCTCGATCGGATCTTAATGCTTACTAATTTCCCTTTTACTGCTACTTTAATGACGATGATTCAAAGAATTGTAATATCAACCATAAATCATTTTTATTGATTAACTTCCAAATTGACAACCTGCATCCAAAGCCTTCACCTTTGTGAGATCGTCTGTCTACCTTGTGGCCTATAATATGGTAATCATTTGGGGAGGCATATTTTAGCAGTGAATGTCCTGTGTCTGAAATGATGATGACTGATTAGTTAGGTAACTGAGATTTGGGCTGATTTGGGTACATAAAGAACATAAGTTGCAAGTGCATAGTCTGAAAACCTCTCTGCCGATCTTTGGTATCAGTTTTTCTGAATGGATTGATATTTTATTAATATTTTTGGAAATGCATTATTAAAATGCTTATCATCAATAAGCACGAGATACAACCTCATTGCGACCAGCTAAGCACCTCTGATAGCAACCTTATCTTATCACAAAGTGGAATTATTCTTTAAAATTGGATGATAAACATTTTTATCATTGATTGAGTTCTTATAAACGTAATTAAGATATTGTTATTTTGCAATTAACACAATCTTTCGTCATTTTCAATTTAATGCAAAGGAGGTGATTCTTTATTTTTTGAATTATAAATCTGTCGTCATAAAAACAATGTTAACAGAATTCTATTGAGACAGACAATTCCTCTGTGGTTGACGATTCCGCGTGAAGCTTACTTCCACTTTCGGTATAATCATCACTATTAATTTTCATACAAATCGGATTTTATAAATTTTATTATGTATGAAAATTGAAAAAATAAAATGATGATATCAAATTTTTGACTTGACCATACCATTTATATGCCCATGTTAACATGGGCTAGTGTCGGCTCATATATCCATTTATCTAACACCCTGTATATGAAACATCTGTTTTCAACCGACTTCAAAAAAGGAGGAGGTTCTCAATTCGACCCGTATGTTTTTTTTTTTTTTTCTATGTTTGTTACGCGATAACTCCGCCAATTATGAACCGATTTGAACAAATTTTTTTTCGGCGTATAGGTAATACCTCAAGGGTGGTCCCATTTAAATTTAATAATAAAAAAAACAACCCCCAAGGGTGGAAAATTGGGGATGAACTTTTTTATACGCAATATCTCCGCCGATTATAAACCAATTTGAACGATTATTTTTTTGTTGAATAGGTATTATCAAAAGGGTGGTTTCATGCGAATTTGAAGAAAATATTTCACCCCCAAGGGTGGAAAATTGGGGATGAACTTTTTTATACGCAATATCTCCGCCGATTATGAACCAATTTTTTTTGGTCTCAGTGTACTGCCTACCTTCAGTGGTAACATCAAGGTAATAATTAGTTAACTAAAAAGCAAGAAATAAGTAAAATTTTAAATAAAAAAATAAAACCGACTCCAAAAAACCTACACTAAAACGTAGAAAAATAATTACTAATTACCTACTTATTTATTAGGACGAATTATTAATATTTATGTAGGTATACCATGATTGATACTTTTGGAGTCGGTGCAGGCAAACTTTACATGTTTCATAATCTTGTCACCGACTCCAGAAGTATCAATCATGGTATACCTACATAAATATTAATAATTCGTCCTAATAAATAAGTAGGTAATTAGTAATTATTTTTCTACGTTTTAGTGTAGGTTTTTTGGAGTCGGTTTTATTTTTTTATTTAAAATTTTACTTATTAAATTCAGCCTGTATTGAAATATTGATTGATCTTTGAGATACCTATAATTGATGACTAGCAGAAGTTATTTTTTTTAAACCAGTCGATATATTAAATGCAAAAGTTTTGTAAGTTAGTCTAAATTACAGTTTATTCTGTAAAACCAACATAAATAAAGAAATTATATTCCCTAAGTAATATTTTGTGATTGAATCTCTAGTTTTCGTCAAAATTTCTCACAAAACTTGAGAAAATATCTTCACTCTAAAAGAAGAAGGCTGTAATGAAATTGTTCTGTGTTTCATTTTGATTACAAATTAATTGTGGGAGTCGGTTACGTAGAGTCAAACTATGAATGAGTGTTCAATAGAACAACGCAACTGACACACAACTAAAGGAATTAGGAATACAATCAATGTTATCAAATTTTGGGTTTTATCAGATCTAAGATAAAATGTTTTATCAACTGCTGCCGTTATAAAAGTGTAGATTAGTGTCAGGTCAGCAGCTATCGAGATGAAGGTTTTGGCGATCGCATTGCTTTTCGTGGCGGTCTACGCCAAGCACGAGGAATATGCTGGGTCAGTGATATTTTTGTTGTTTGTTGCAAAATCACACCTATTATAATTAAATTAGATGTCAGTATTTAGTAGTGCTTCCAGTTCAAAATCAGATTTTGAAATCCTTTAACGGTATCAATATTTTTCCATTATTGCTATTAGTTGCGTGGTCTTGTAGTTTGCAATTTCGGCTTCTAAAGCTGGTAGTTAGTAGTTTAGTACACATAGATTCAAATTCTTGGCCTTTACGCCAAAATTTCTTTTGAAATATGGTTTGCTTTGAAGTCTTATTAATGTTTATTGTATAAACGTATGCTAATACTCTAACTACTCTAATATTATTTTAAACTTATCTTTCTCTTATTGTGATAACTAAGTAAGTAACGTCTTTATAAATATTTGATTTCTTTATAAATATTCGTCAGTAAGAAGCACCTAAACTATACGTCTTCACCATATTCAACAGATTCTTCTGTGATTCCACTTTTGATTACGTTAAACTTTTGTCCACAGTTACAAATCCTACTTTGTAGGACAGAAGAACCAAGCACAGCAACATGCTCTGCAGTCCTTAGAGAATGAGTTCCAGCTAGACTTTCTGGGCCGTGTGACCAGCAGCCAGGAGACCTTGGTCCTGGTCAAGCCTGAATTCCAGGCTGCGTTCACCAAAAGCCTGAAAGCCTTTGGCCTCTCCTACAGGGTCCATGCCGATGACGTAGTCAAGTGAGTAGGGTCATTTTGAAATCAAAATTTGAAACTAGTGTCCTGTTTTGGTTACATAAAATTTAACCCAAATTATATCATTGTCATTAAATTAATAAATACTCGTAATTTGATATTAGTCCAAGTGAACATAGATATCTAACACATAAAATCAATGACTTTTTGACCAAATATTTTACAATGAAATAATATTTTCAACGGTCTAGTAGAAACAGTTGAATAAACAATAATGGCTGACGTAAAATTTACATCGTCTAATTTCATAAACAAAATACTGAGTCATTTATGTACAAATTAATACGTAAATTAACTTTATTGATCAATTTTAAGGTCCGTTTATTTCTTTTGATAATTACTCATCCCAACCCTAAGCTCCTTAGTGCGAAGGAGCCGTAATAAAATAATTTCATCTACAGGGAATACAGGATTGTAAAATTTTCAATTTACGTTTTAGAGCGCTCCAGAATGATGATAGGATTATCGAGGAGGTGGTTCAAGAGAAGGCCAGGAATGGGGGTGCCAGGATCCCTTATGACAATTATCAGCCTCTAAGTGTCGTAAGTATCTACTTAATAAACATAACCTAGGGAAATCTCAT